ATTTTTGATATATTTTATAAACTAATCTAATACAAACCTTCCTCGATAAATGCACTATCCTACACAAAAAGATTTTTTCAAATCGGACCTGTAGTTTCTGAGATTATTATAGCTTAGTATAGTTACTGTAGGGAACTAGCAGCCCACCCTCCTTTTATATCAATATGGTATAAATAAGCTTACCTATAACCTGCCTGATGGTATTGGACCCCATAAGCCTATGTACGCTTGCTGGAATACTGGAAACTTTCCCTCTCAACTGTTAACTCCCCTGACCCCCCCCCCTAGGGGAGAATCAGATTACTATAGTACTGATGTCTCCCCTAGGTTGGGGACTCAATGATAGAAATACAAGACAAACAAGAGGTAGAAAACAGATGAAAAGGATATACTGCAGTCAGATTAAACTCATTGTCCAAAACTAGAATTTAGAAAACGGATGATTGTGAGTTAGACTGAAGAGTTTCGATCTTCGTTGAAGTTTAAGTAGTTTTTGCAGATGGTAATGGCAAAGTTGTATGCATGAAGATCCACATAAATTTTAATTTTATTTCATTGTTATTAAATATTTTGCAGTGGCAAATTGAAATTTTCTACACAACCGTGAAAATGTCATCTACCCACACAGATATTAGGGGCTTTGTATTATGTATTTTGTTTTCTATGTGATGTTTTGATTAATTAATTTGTGCTTGAACTAGGCCAAATCAAAATGGCGATAGGCCAATGCAGCAAATCTATTTTCGTCGGCATACAAAAGAAACCCCCCAAAATGATTAGCAAAAAAAGGTTTACATCAAAAACGTATTAGAGCGGACCCAAATAACTCAAACGCTACCCGAAACGGTGGCAATAAAAAAGCTCGTCTACAACTGGCGTTGCCCCAAAAACAGGGGCGTGAAATATGCAGGGCGGGCGCCGAGGGTGGGGGCGAGGGCAGTGCTGACGTCACGACTTCGACCCGCCAGACTGCCGCCAAAACCAATGCCTTCTACCAGTCCGAATCAGACCTCTTTATCAATCGTGCGACGAACATCCGGCTGAATGGATTAGTTCCTTGGTCAATCGTCAAATTCGAAAAGTTAAAGTTTGATTTTAGAACGTTCTCTGTTAGTTTTTTGGTTGCTTGACGTTTTTTCTTATTTTTTTTTTAGCAAAAATGGCTACCTTTGTTATTGATCTATTTTTATTTTGGCGTATTTTTGGAAGCCAGGGCTAAGGTGAGCTTAGATAGAAGTAGTTAGAGTAACAGCTAGTTTGAATGACATTGTGTTTTCGTAGTCATGTAGGTGAATATTTTTTATAATTACTTTTGAAATACTCACAGCCCAACAACAAACTTTTTATATAATAACTTCATTGTTTATTTTTAAAATTTAATAGAATTCTAACATTACATTTTTGTGGGTTCTCATACAAACTTTTCTCAATCCTTTTTCTTAAAAATGCATGATGTTTATTTATTTATTTTGTTTCTCTAGATGCGTTGGTTTTGCGTCTAGCTGTGTTTAAGTTTTATTTGACCTACTGTCCGGCATGTTGTCTGATTTTCTGTGTGTTGTGCGTTGCATGCAGTCAGCACACCTCGCCTGCGTCGACCAATGACAAGCTACAAGCCCTTGGTAAGCAAATATGCACCCTCTTGTTTTGGTAGTGAGAGTTGATATTTCATTTACGCATCCCTAATAGATAAAGTCGGAGTTTGATTATCATCATGAGCATTATATTCAGAAAAGCTAATTTTGTACAGTTAAGGAATCGTCAGTGGTTGCAATTTGCCATCGAAAGTGCATATTTATTTCGTTGCAAAGTTATGTTCGAAGTGATAATGGTATCTGCTGACAAGACCTTGACTGTCCCTATATAAAATAACTATTACATACTTAGTTTACATAAGGTCTTTCGCATCTGCTGAATGTGAGTGGGTAGGATCATCCCATCACTAGCTACGATAAATATAAAGTTGACGCACCACCCTTACTCAACGTTCATCAAATACAGCTTAATACTAAAAATATTGGAAGCTTTTTGTTGGGTGAATATGTATTAGTTAATGTCCTGTAGTGATGAAACCTTTGGCACATACAGCTAAAAAAAAATTTAAAAAAAACATTCTATATGGAACTCTTTCGTAAGTATGCATTAAATCTCATTCTTGCGCCGTGGCCATGCGAGGATTAATAGAAATAAATAGACAAGTAGAATTCTATAAGTATATAAAATGATATTAGTTTAGTTCGACGAAACAGATAGCGAAGCTTTTAAATTAGAAGTAACTTGTTTATACAAAGATTTTCAGTATAATAAAAACTCCTTTACATACAACTCAAAGGGATTTCAGAACTATTAATAACTGCTTAATTTATTCGAAATTAATTACTTTTTAGTGAGACTATAGTATAGAAAACCTGATAAATTTAGATACATTCTCCTTACGAATATTACGTGTATTACTAAGCATTAAAGGACTTGGCAATGATATTAACTCCACCATCGTTGCCCCGACTATTAGCTTGTTTCACATATTTTCATTAAAAACTGCTTTCCAGGAATTAACGCAAATAATTCTTCGCTTTCGCATGACCTTTCATAATTTTTAAAGTCCAAGGAGTTGTAAGCACGCAACCAAATCGTTTCATTATATTTTCATTACAATGTAAATTGTAGATGGCACCAACACTGCTTTCTTTTTCTTGCTTATTTAACTAGTTTTTTTACTTTATCCACATTATTTATTTTGGCATTTATTTCAGTATGCTCTGCGATTTCCGCATCATGAAGCTACCTATGTATGTCATCAAGTAATCTTAACAAACATTTAATCAAGATAAATAGTCTAGTATTTGGTCGCCAAAATATTGCTCTCCATATTATTTCGGGATTTTTACATTAATCTGTGTAGTCTGTGCAGTCATCACATGTGCATCTTAAGCATCTTTCTCATCATATTAATGTAAAGCTTCTGTAAGAGTATTTATAAGCTATGATGACTCATACTTCTACGAGGTGAATAAAGTGAGCGGTACCTAATACCTGGCGTTTTAAACGCGTAATGAATGTAAAGATTTTCCTTACCCTTTTGGTAATAAAACCCAATTTCTCAATCATGTTATTTCTAACTTTTCTATTACTTAAAAGATTGAGATGTAAGGGTTTAGGAAAGACGATTAAAGTGAGTTTTTATACTGAATATTTTCTTACAATATAATTAGGAATCAGTTTGTTTAAAGACCAGCGCACGAGGTCATGAAAGAACAAAGATCCTAAATGATTTAATGCGATTATTTATTACTACTAATTTAGTTTAAAAATGTTAATGCAGACAAATAGTGAAAGAAAGGTAATGCCTCTATCTAGTGAAAGACAATTTTTCTTCGTTTGTTACATTCCAACGATAGGATTATTCCTAGTTTTCGTATTTTTCCCCAGTGAAAGCTACACAGCCGTCGCAAGACGCTGCGGAGCTGTCTGCGCGCGCACTCCTCCTGGCACGTGGCCAACTCGTTTTTCTGTTTATCCTCTACTTTTGGCAAATACCGAAATTAAAGGTTACAGCCAATTTTATCATGTATTTGGAAGCGAAGTTAATGTTATTTATTACAAGTACGTTTTGCATGAGCTGCTGAAATATATTCTTGAAAGTACTTCGTATTAGAGACAGGACCGTAATCGTGAAATTACAATTTAACATAAGCAATGCTTTTATTATGTTACAAATTTAATATTAATTTGAGACGCTGTCAAATAAAGCTTATTTAATACTTATCTGACTTATATTGTTTGATTAAATCTTATTGTCGTATTTATACACAAGTAAAAGTTATTACTTCTACTTAAGCAACATTTTTCATTTCATTCTTAAACAATTAATCAAAGTAAGAACTAAAGATTTTTTTTACTAGAAAAAAATCACCGTGGTCCAGGCACTGCCTGGCAGGCAGCAGAAAAACTCATACCTAGAAAAAAATACAACGCTCGCTGTGCTCGCTGGAATCGCTCTTAATGGTCACAACACTGACCTAACCTAGTGGGAAACCAAAAACCCAAGATTATTATAATGAGCCAACGATTCTTTTCGTAATCTTATGGAGACGTTTTCACAAAAAAATCTATATTTTTAAAATAACATTGAGAAATGTCATCGTCTTTGTCGAATTATCCGCGTTTTTGCAAAATCAAAAATAAATCATCAAAATAGATATAAGTTATAAAAATAGTTGGAGGGATTTGTTGACCGGCATAAGTAGCCATTTGATTCTTACCGCCAGGGCTTACTATTAAAGTGTAATATGTGATTGTGCGGCTAAGAGATGAATTGTAGTATGGTAGCCATACGTATTCCCAACACAAGGCGCCCTAAAATTCATCTTACACAAGGCGCCGTAGTAGAAAAATATGAGTATAACATAGTGTTTGATGTAACTGGTATACAGCGTCAAAAATCTCTAGGCTCTATTTATAAACATCCATGTATTGCTAATGCTAGATGCTAATTTCAGTCGTCATCCAGATACAGAAGAAGCTAAAAAAATACACCCTGTTTCGTCCATCCCTACTGGTACAACTTGTAATTTATGTCCATTCAACTCTGTAACGTAGATGTTCTATGATAATAAAAAATCTTCAGTTCTTGGTTTATCCAAGTTTTTGTAGATCATCACGAAACATCTACTTTTACCAGTAGGAATAGGTAGAAATGGAGTAAAATACATTATAAGGGAAATCACTCTCAATCTTTGGCACTCTTCCACTATTGCATTTAATTCGACAAAACCTGAAAACAATAGATTATTCAAGCTCGGTTCTTAAAATAAAAAACCTAGTATGGTTTGAAATTTGAGAATTGGCAGTACTATTCCAATAATCTATTGTTTCCTTGTTTTTTCAAACTAAACTCAACAGTACCAATTATTGGAAGAGTGCCAATGATTGGGTGGTTTCCACTATACGTATTTTTTGGTGATCCAGGAGTTACTAATTGTTGCTATTATTGGTTCCAGGGCTCAGCCGATTCAAACTACTCGCAGCCATCGTCGGAGCTGTCGCTGGACGAGGACAAAGAGGCGCTGCGCCGCGAGAAGGAAGCGCAGGCACTCTCACAGCTCGACAAGGCACGGGTAAGCTACAGCAGATTTACTAGACTGCCCATATTACCTGGTAACATTCAGTATTTCCACAACTGTTCGCTTCCGAGATCTGTTATTCTTCGGACAATAACATTATGGAATGAGCTCCTCTCCACGGTATTCTCTCAGTACCATAACATGTTCCTCATCAAGAGAGGCTTTAATGGAGTGTTCCATGAAAGGTAGCGGCATGGCTGTGTCACTGGCATTGCTGATGTCCATGGGCGACGATGAACGCTTAACATCAGGTGGCCCGTTCGCTCGTCTGTCTTCGAAGGCAATAAAAAAACTACACACTAAACGAAGCTTTGTAGCTAATTTAAAAACTGCGAAAAATTTATACATACAACGTGAAAGTAGGATCCAGAAATAAGGGAAGGCTGAGAGTCATCTTTGACGATCGAATTGATCACGTTTCAAAGGTATGAAATGTCGGAAAGCAGACAAATGCGTTGGATATAAAAAGAGTTATGAAGCGAAAGATGTGTGTACGAACCATCAAATCATAGTTCGCTCAGTTCTCTCTACCTACTCTTCAATCTCAAAAAATCTATGATGGGTAGAGTGAGGAGTATTTTTGATAGGATTTTTCATTTCAAGGTGTGGATTGGAATAGATATATCACAGCGGAACCGCCTGCTCGTTCGTCCCTATAGCTTTAACGTTTCAGACATTGGAAAACTTGGCCGAAATATCTGTTACGATTGTTATTGACCCACTCATATATGAAACTCATCAATCTAAAAATATTTATTGGCCTGATCCATGATGAATCTAGAATTACTTTTTCTCGTAAGATTTTCATTTCAAGGTGTGCTTATGGATAGGAGTATATTAGGTAAGCCGTTTGCTCATTTGTCCTCTATAACATAAACATCTTTTACATCTGAGACCGGAAAATCTGGAAAATTAACTTACCTACGTAAACCAACTTCGCTTTCTACTAACCCACTTATATATGAAAATAACTCAAGTAGTTTTTCTCATTGTTCCAGTCGAAGCCAGTCGCGTTCGCCGTGCGCACGAACGTGTCGTACGATGGCTCGCTGGACGACGATTCGCCCGTGCACGGCAGCGCCATATCCTTCGATGTGCGCGACTTCCTACACATCAAGGTGAGATTGGAATTCAGTTGCGTTTCTTCAGATGAAATTTTGAATGATTCGATAGAAGTAGAGCACGTCAGATTTCCTTCTCTAACGAAGAGCCGGAGTATGTATATAATCTTACCATGGCAAGGTGAAAAAGGCTCGCGGCCCTAATGAACCCACAACTGGGGCACAGGCCTTTTCTACGTATGGAATAGGGAGATTGGCCTATGACCCACCACGCGGACCCAATGCGGATTGGTGTGTGCTAAGCGGACTTGTGTATCTTCCGAAGCATGGAGGAGGTCGAGTTTAAATGCGCCATCGAGCCTTTCGGCCATCATCTATTTTCATTGGATCTGAGATATAATGGGTTTCATAAAGTGTCTCACAGACAAAGGCGGGCTGCGGCAGTGGCCAGCCCTTATTGGTCCCTTTTGTTTGAACACTCGCTTACATTGCAAGCAAATATAACTGGCCGCCATCCCGGCCGTAGCCGCGGCCGCGTCTCTATGTGAAACACTTAATTTGAAACGCATTTTTGCATTGTCAAGTTTCGTACGGTTCAATCTTCCGACGACCCCGCCTCTGCTTCCAGGAGAAGTACGACAACAACTGGTGGATCGGGCGTCTCGTGAAGGAGGGCTGCGACATCGGCTTCATCCCGTCGCCGGTGAAGTTGGAGACGGTGCGCGCGGGTCTCGCGTCGCGCGGACGGTACCCGCGGCCGGCGTCGTCGGCTAACCTCGCGCCGCTCGCGCCCCTCGGCGGCACGTCGCTGGCCCCGCTTCCCAGCAGAGGTAGCACCCCCCCCACGCCCGGTACGTCACGCGCCTCAACCCCCGCGACCCTGCGACCTCGCGCCGCCACACGCAACCGCTGACGCGAAACTACCCACGAACTGCGCTCGTGACCCAACCTCGCTCCTTGCGGGACTCTGATCACTGATACCGTCGCGTGCCGACGAACCGGACGGTGCTCTATTTACTTAGATTTAGACAAATGCAATCGAATTTCAGTTTTTTTGTCGATGATGACCTGACATCACTACGTTTCGGTTTAGTGCTAAAAGTTTTGCCAGTAGACGCATTAGCTCGCTTACATTTTTACGAGGCACCGAGGATTTCATGCATCCCATGCGGCTGTTGATTTAAACGGCTTAACCTTCGCACACGTTCGGAAGGTCTTTAGACGAAACAGTTCTAAAGAAGCAATGCACCACCATTGTTATGTATCAGTAGAACAGATTGAATTTCTTTTTTTGAGACATTCGCGTTTGTTGATCTTCGCCGATCGACTGCAAAAGCGGTTACGTCTGACGCGCAAAAAGCTTTTAAGTACGGACTGAATTAATGAATTGCAGATAAATTACTGTGATACTGTGAAGTTCAAATAGGCAGACATGTTATCTTTTTTTAGACACAAATCTTAGTCGTTTCAGATACATGTAAACAGAGTCTGCTATTCATTCTGTTGGATTTTCATTTTGCTGAAAATGATAAGGCTATGTTTAAAATATCATCATATTCAAAAATTTTTGATGATATTTTATTTGAATATTTTTATTTTCATTCAAAGAATCAGTCTATTTTGAAATGGTGGTTTCATACTAACATTTCATACTAACAGCCATATTCAGACGCGTCAATTAAATGAATTCTTCTCAAAGTAACTACGTGTTGTCGTTATCGCTAAAGTAATGGCATCAAAATTAAATAAACTTAAAGTAAATTGACGCTTCTGAGTACGAAAGTTACTATCCATAAATAATTCAATCATACAATCCATATTGAAATTTTCAGCGAAACGTAAATGAAATTCAGTTCAGTGCTTAAATAAACGCTTTAAAAATGCATCAAACGATTATGTTATAAAAATAAATAGTATTTGCAATTGCCGTTAATGTTAAACCTGATGGCCTTAAAGTAATTATTATACCTATAGAAAACTATTTAGATTTTATAACATTTCGTTTGGCGCCTAGATTTACGTACAACGCAGTTTATTTTCTGTCAGTGCATCTTACTCTTTCTAAAACAAACTTTCTGCACTAACGTTAATAATAATATTTTTAATAATTATCTTTGTTTAATTTTAATTCGTGTATTTATTAAATCTAATCTTTGGTAAAAAGAAAAGAAAGATGAGGCGGCACTGCCACTTGTGAAAAATATCTAACTATACAATTAATTGGCTATTAACATAAACTTTATATTTTATTGATGAAATTGCAAATGGCATCAATGAGCTTAAAATTGTTATATTTATTGCATCTCTTATCTCTAGTATGAAAAATTGTCCTTCCAATGTTACCCGTCATTTGCGATTACCCAGATTTAGACCACAAAATTTATTCAATTATTATGTTTTATATAAATGCGATGATTGACTGCTTTGTACTACCATTTCATACTACACTCGCAAACATAATTCATTAGTGGAAGTTGCTGAGATTTCCTGGTATGTATTCTCGCACTCATTTCTGACATATTTTCAGATTCACCTATTTTTGATCGAGGTAAGCTCATTCACCCATTCCTTACCAGGAAATATTGACAATTTTCACCTTATTTTTCGATTTAAATAATATGTTTATAGAATATTTAATATTGTTTATTTTTAACAAAATTAATATTATTTATTTCTGCTCTCTCGGTGTCATGCCATTTCCATACTCCAACACATTATTTTTGGTTATAATATTATTGGAAGAGAAGATACTTTAGATGGATTATCATTCGAAATGATAATTCTTTTTCGATTGAATGCAAAATAGCAAAATTTCACCCAATGGTAACTAAAAACTTGCAACTTTTGAGTGGGAATTTGATGCCCTAGTTTTTTATTTTAAGCCTTCAATTGCAATATTCAATATATTAGTAACTAATGAAATAATCAATTTATTTTCTCTCCTCCTTTACTGAAGTAAACGCTAAATAATGTTTTCTTTGTGCATTTTATAACTATACTCGACTATACAGAGTTTCATTTGGTAATGATCACAATATTAATAAAAGGTTCTTTTATTTTTGAACATGATTTATTTCGTTTACATGAATTAATTATTACTTTAACAGATTTTAAATTTTCTATTGTATATTTTTAAATAATAATAATTTTACCAAGAACAATAACATTTTGGAAGTGCATTTTTTTAGTTATTACAATTTTCGAATTATTTAAACCGTATATTCTTATCAAATTCAACTCTGTGCGTTTAGGATATCTTCCTATATTTGTTGTGCATCTGCATGTTAAAAGCCTTTTATTATATTAATATATATATAGGACCCAATTAACCCAAAAACCTTTAACGACATTTCAACAAAAAACCAACAAAAACCTATGAAATAGGTTCAAACTGAATCTAATAAATATTAGATTTTGGAAAGGCATTCTACCAAATTCTACTATATGAAAACATAATAATTATTTCCCATTAATAGATGGTTTAGTAGTATTTTCGGACGTTCGCTGATGTCGATCGTCCTGATAAGCTCAAAAAATTAATTTTAATAATTCTGTGGTCCATTAACATATGTTAAATAAGTTGTACATCTACTGGATGATGGCCTTGTCGTTAGGTGAAGACTCAGATACAGGCACTCGCGGTCGCGGCGCAGGCGCCCTCCCCGCCGGCAAAGAGAAACGGAAACCGTTCTTCAAGAAGCAGGAGACATGCACTCCGTACGACGTCGTGCCGTCGATGCGGCCCGTCGTCCTCGTCGGACCTTCGCTCAAGGGCTACGAAGTAACAGACATGATGCAAAAGGCACTTTTTGATTTCCTTAAAAGAAGATTTGAAGGCAGGTGAGTCAAATTTTATCACCCGTCTTAAAAATAAACGACACTCGCCCGACAAAAAATAAACGACACCTAGTTAACTCGAAATAAATTTGGAATCACATAAGATAGTTCTTTGAATTAAAATAAAAAAAATATAAAACTATAAAAAAAAAGGTTTGTGTGCAATAAAAATTTCATTCGGATATAATTTAATTAAGGAAAATGTAATTTCAAAGTCATTTCGAATTTATTAGGTGACCCTTTATTTTGGGGGCGAGTGTAGTTTTGGAATGCTACTTTAGTCAATGAATGTTTTGAAATACTTTAAATATCTGCTATCGATTTTGCAAGTGAACCCGCCATATACGAATATCCAATGTTAACTAGAAACGAAAGTAACATGCGATACTATTCCAGGATTATAATAACTCGTGTGATGGCGGACATATCGCTCGCAAAAAGATCACTCCTCAACAATCCTTCGAAACGGGCGATCATGGAACGATCCAACTCGCGTTCCACGTGCCTCGCAGAAGTGCAGGTAAATGTCTCTAACTCCGCTCTGACCGTGTTGCAGGATCATCATCACCAGGGTTTCGGCAGATATCTCGCTGGCAAAGCGATCGTTGCTCAATAACCCACCGACAAAACGGCTCACGGACAGGTCAAACTCGAGAACGAATTGTTTACAAGAGGTGCAGGTGCGGGAATGATTGTGACTTGTGCCAGTAAAGTTTGCTAGTAACGATAGATCGTACGGTGTCGAGGCCGCAGTAGCGTAGTGCTTGTACTGACCCGATTAACCATGTATCTGTCTGTGAACACACTTGGATTCCTCACTAACACACCTCGCTAACGGGCTGGCGGGCCTGAATTTCTCGGTTCGCCGACGAGATCATGGCCCGCCGCCACTTTGGAGTTGCGAAGCTTGTGACGTTGTAGTATGTTTGGCTTTATATCGTAAAGTCAGTGCCTTGCAGTTGCGATGAGAGTACACTATTTGGGAAAGTTCGCGATCGACTTCGACAGAGTGTTGTTCGTGATGTGGTTTCGCCCTCGCATCTTTTGATACCCTCATAATAGCCTTTACTAACCGAATAACATAGCCTAATTTCTCCCTTCACACACACACATTTCTCACCGGTTAACTTGAATAGGGATGACGACGGCGTAAAATAAACAAAATTTTATTTAGTCCGTTAGTTGGATTATCAAAAATAATGGACACTTTTTTTTCTTTTGTCTTTTAACCAAAAAATTACAAAGATAAAGCGCGTTAAGGTTTGGCAATGGGACTTCATGAGAAAAGTGAAAATTTTACCAAGACATGACGTCAGGCGACATTTCAAATCAAATAGTATCTTCGATTCTACCTTATAGACGAAGAAGAAAAAAGTTGGTCGTCACCCCTGTTGTCGACATCCGAAACACGAGCCTTAACAGCACACTCCGTAATGATCGATTATTGTTGCGCAGCGTAGTGGTTGTGTGACATGTAATGCTGGCTGCACGCACTCGCCTTTCGTCGAGAGTCTTGTCCGAGGAGGAACTCGATGTATGTGTACATGCTTGCTCTCATTTTCCTCGCGAAACCCACGAAATCCTTTACATCCCACTGATGGATGATTTAATAGTTTCATCTTCGAATGGTGGCCAATTCGGTCCGTTATTAGGGTTCCGTAGTCCTGACAAGGAACCCTTATATGTCCGTCTGTCCATCCCTGGTCTTACTTGAAGACTGCAAGCACTAGAGAACTGCAATTTTGTGGAGATATATATGTATATCAATCACGTCGACAAAATGGTAGAATAAAATAATGAAAAATATTTTTTAGGGTAACTCCCCTACATGTAACCTGGGGATGTTATTTTTATCGTCTACGCTATCGTGTGGAGTATCGTTAAATATGTCATTTAAAATTACTTCAGAGTTCTTAAGACTACTTTTCTCTTTAGGGATCCCTTTGCGAAATATTGAACCCCCTAAAATCTAAACTATTGGCTTAGAAAAACCTGGAAAATTCATGATAATAGTGCTTTTCATGAACTTTTAAGGAAAAGTATAACGATTGAGATATATTTATTAGTTTAAAAGTAATAGTCGGTCAACTTTGGTTAAAGAAAATTTCTTACCTATTGAAAATCCTTTAGTAGAACACATGAATAGTGACATAGATAAGCAATTACGGAACCCTATACTGCCCGTGGCATGACAGGCACTTGGCCGGTTTTTCATATTTCAAATAAGTTGTACATCTACTGGACGAAGCTCGAGAGAGCACCACCATGTACACACTCGTTCTCAGCCTGGGTATCTCGGCGAGTGTGTTCAGCCTACATAACATTGTTAACCTGAAAGACGAAGTTTGTCGTCATCCCTACTGTCGGCATCCGAAACACGAACCCTAACAGCACTCTCCGGGACGATCGATTGTTGTTGTGACGTAGTGGTGGTAAACATGGGAGTGGTGTGCAGGCGGAGATTGAGCGCATCTTCGACCTGGCGCGCACGCTGCAGCTGGTGGTGCTGGACTGCGACACCATCAACCACCCCTCTCAACTCGCCAAGACCTCGCTCGCACCCACCATCGTCTACCTCAAGATATCAAGCCCGAAGGTAATCAACTGCTATTATTTTATCTATAACACACTGACATATTACATAGTTAACCTTTAATAAGTTGTTTTTGTATATTTACAGCAAAGACTATAACTGTAATTATGGTCCTGCTGAATCCTTCTTTTTATTGATATGATTACAATGAACAAAGACTCGACTATTCTTAAAATTCCGTTCCTTGTAAAACCATCATACCTTCATTATATTTTTATTTGCAAGCATTTAAGTGATAGATGTTTATATCTAAAGACAATTATTACTAGAAAATATTTTACACGACTTCTTAGAAGCATATTTAAATATTAGCAGTCCTTAAAAATAATATTACAATAAACTTACAATTTCTTATTCCAAATGTTACTTACAATGCGAAGTGATTTTTTGATAATATCTACCTGCTAGCGGAAGAAAAAATAAGTTAGTCACCATCTCCCTTAGATCGCATCGCAGAGTATATAGAAATGATGCAGCGTATTCAGAATTTAATATTTTTCATGGTAGACTATTTTTTGTCCCAAAGTATTCTTTCCAGATCTTTATAGGAAACCAGTTACATAGGAGGATAAAAAAATACTTTAAGGAAACTGGTTTCCAAACTCAGTTTTCCTTAAGAACCGGATGGCACCATCACTATTAATGTCGTATCTAGTAGAAAAGTTGATAAATCAAGTCACACTGTAAACATTGCAGGTATTACAACGACTGATAAAGTCCCGCGGCAAGGGGCAGAGTAAGAACCTGTCGGTGCAGATGGTTGCGGCGGAAAAGCTGTCCCAGTGCCCGCCCGACATGTTCGACGTCATCCTCGACGAGAACCAGCTCGAGGATGCCTGCGAACACATCGCAGAGTATCTAGAGGTGATGCACATACTATTATTAACAATACACAGCTGTCGCAGTGCCCGCCCGACATGTTCGACGTCATCCTCGACGAGAACCAGCTCAAGGATGCCCTCGAACACATCGCAGAGTATCTAGAGGTGATGCACATTCTATTATTATCAATACACAGCTGTCCCAGTGCCTGCCCGACATATTCGACGTCATCCTCGACGAGAACCAGCTCGAGGATGCCTGCGAACACAACGCAGAGTATCTAGAGGTGATGCACATTCTGTTATTATCAATACACAGCTGTCGCAGTGCCCGCCCGACATGTTCGACGTCATCCTCGACGAGAACCAGCTCGTGGACGCCTGAAAGCGCATCCCAGTGTATCTAGAGGTGATGCACATTATAGTATTATCAAAACGCAGCTGTCGCAGTGCCCGCCCAACATGTTCGATATCAGCCTCGACGTGAACCAGCTCAAGGATGCCTGCGAGCACATTAAGCATATCAAGAATATTATGGAACACTACTTTTATCGCAGAATAATTAGGGGTACACGTTCTCTTTTTATGGTAGACTATTTTAGTCCCAAAGTATTATTTCCAAGGGCAAAATTATTTTATACTCATTTTAAGTGAAGCTTAAAGTCCGGGCATCAAAGTCAGTCAATCAAGTCGAGTAAATACGTACTCGTTAGTAAGTAGCACGTACAGGGTTTCAAAGCAGAAAAGTACGTTTTGCAATGTTGCAGATAATAAAATAGTCGTTTACAATTTTGTAACCAATTACTGAACAAGTGTAAGAATTAACAAAACAGTTTTGTTATATCAACAAAACTATATTAACAAAACTAAGTTTGTTTATTATATTAATAACTATAGTTATGTAGTCACTATTTTTATGTAATTTTTTTGTTTTAAGTAACTGAAAACTTTTCTCAGTGTATTTTTGTATATGTACTTATATTATTATTATTTACACTCAAATGCCAAAAGCACCCACTGTTTTCACTATGACATTCTGGTATGCTTAAGAACTATGCCCCAGCACAGGTACGTGAGGTCTCTAATAACCTCACAAATAATAAAAACCTGTATATTTATTCCACTGCTTTTCGGCAGTAATTGATTGATTGATGACTTTTTTGACCCGGAGAAATCCGTTACGCATACCCCGCTTCTGGGTAAGGAGACGAGGTTATGTAGAATTCCTCTTCCACCTCCCGCCTACCCATTCAGCCAACTTAATCAGGCTGGCTCTACGGCTGCTTGGGATGGAGGGCCTACACACTAAAACTCTAGGACGTGACGATAACGTGGGCTACTTTGTTGGGTACGTGGACGCGGGTTTACCCAACCCACGCCCGCTAGCCTCGATTAAGTCCTGCCCAAACCCAACGACGCACTATGTGGAGGTCCCTAAGAGAGCTTGGCCATAAATACATTTTGTAAAAATCGGCGCAGGTACTTGTATTATACCTCAAACTATAGCTAAGAAGTTGATCTACTATATTATGTATAAATTATGTATGTAACTAGTACTTTTTTATAGTAAAGAGCATCTAAATACGATGATTGAAAAATTATCACGAAAACATCATAATTTGTATTTTTTTCAGGATGATTTTCTAGTAAGCTAGCAATAAAAATTATACAAGTATTATACCATTTTAGAAAGCTTATAATATATACTTTTTTTTGGTATACACAAATATGCTATATATCTATAAATATATTTACTAGAAATATTTATCTCATGACATATCATTTTTGCGTATCTGAAACTTTCAATTAGAGTTTTGACAGTTGCGGAAATTTGCCGAAGGTCTGTAAATGATGTTATTTGATAGGAAATTTAATATTTTTATACAGGAACAAAAAAAAAGTTGCAACTTCATTGCACAACATAATGCTATCTATCATAACATGAAATAGTAATAATTTCTTAAAAATACGTGGGCGAATCTATTTGTTTTATTAGTTGATATAGGTTACACTTGTGATATATTATTAATTGCGGTTTATGTTTTGATAATGTATCGAGTATTTCTCACCATTTTTAGTTCGCCTACAAAATAAATTATCAATAAAACACATAGGAAACCGAGTAACCACATAATGATAAATAGTTTTTATTCCCATATTTTGCATACGTTTCAAATCAGTTATTTAAATAAAATAGAGCATCTGCATACTGAATAATTACATACTGTTTTTCGTTCGTTATTGTCGTTACTAAAAGTGTATCTAACCACCTACTCTCTCGCAATGAGTGAATTCCAATGTACCAGACGCGACCTATGTCTTGTTTTGATTGAAAGTGACGGGAATTATGTTGTTGCTTTAACAAGTTATATACGGAATAATTTTATCAACTTTTCTGAGGCAAATATCGCTAAAATTGTCGCGAGTGTACAAAAAAATCTTATTACGAACTTTCGTCAACGCTACACTAAATCTGGCAGAAATAAAGAAAAATTTTTAAATCAGAATAGCCTGTGGTTGAATGCCACATTCACAGTAAATCTGGAAGATCCTACTTGTGAATCTGAACCTTCGACATCGACGGGGAAGCGAGGACGCCCTTCTAAAACCTACGAAGACAGTTCCGATAGAACACAAAGACGAAAAAACAAGGAGTTGCTTGAAACATGTGGCCTTGATTTTATACTGAATTCATATCTTCAAGGATTGAGATCTCAAGGGGAAACGGAAGAAGCATTCATTGTCGAAATTTTACGAGTATTACCCATAGATAAAAAAAGTGAAATACGTCAAAATCTTTTAAATGAACCGGCACATTTAACAGCGTACTCTAAAGATGAAGCTCTCAGTATTTTTATAGAGTTGGACCTTAACATGGCACAGTATGAGAACATGAGAAATTGCTTAATTGCGAAGAACTGCGTATTATTTCCGTCATATAAATCAATTCAGGAAGCTAAAGGAATGTGCTACCCACCAAGATCAAGCATAGAAATTAATAATATTACAGCAAAAATAAAACTGCAAGATCTGCTGGATCACACTATTGCAAGAATTTTGAAAATCAATGGTGTATACAAAGCTGGCAAAAAACATTTAATGCTGTATTCGAAATGGGGCTGTGATGGCTCAAGCGGACAAAGTGAATACAAGCAAGTCTTAACTGAAGAGGATGAGTTAATTTCTGACACAAATTTATTTATATCTTCATTAGTACCTCTGAAACTTGTTGATATTAATACAAATGAAACTTTGTGGGAAAACCCTGTTCCATCATCAGTAAGATTTTGTAGGCTTCATTTTAATAGAATTTTCAAAAGAGACACCAGAGAAAACTACAAGTGTAGTTAATGAAATTATAGCTCAAAGAAACGCTCTCACAACAAGCTTAATCAATAAAAATGGTGAAAGTATTGAAATCAAACACACATTATTTTTGACAATGGTTGACGGGAAAGTGGCTCAAGTTTTGTCAAAAACTTCATCAGGTGCTGTATGTACTATTTGTGGTGCAAGACCTACAGAGATGAACAATTTAGAAAAAGTACAAAATAAACCTGTTGACGAAAATTCTTATCAATATGGGCTTTCGACTTTACATTGCTGGATTAGATTCATGGAACTAATTTTACATATATCTTATAATGTAGGCTTTGAAAAATGGTCTGCTACAACGACAGAAAATAAAGATTTGAAAAAACAAAAGAAGACATATGTACAAAGAAGGTTCAGAGAAGAACTTGGTTTAAACATAGATAAACCTAAGCAAGGTTCTGGTAACAGTAATGACGGTAATACAGCTAGACGATTTTTTCAAAATTATCAGTGCACTGCAGAAATTACCGGTGTGGATGAGGAATTGATAAAACGATTTTATGTTTTACTTCAAGTTATGTCTAGCGGAAAAGTAATTAATGCTACGAAATTTGGACAGTATGCTTTCGATACAGCACAACGATATGTTAGTAAATATATGTGGTATTATATGCCATCATCTGTCCATAAAGTCCTAATTCATGGGGAAAGTGTAATTCGGCATTATTCAGTGTTACCTCTTGGACAGCTCTCCGAAGATGCCCAGGAATCAAGGAACAAAGACTATAAACGATTCAGACTTCATCATGCTAGAAAATGCTCTAGAGTAGCTACAAATGAAGACGTTTTACATACACTTTTGTACACTTCAGACCCTTACATAACAAGTTTAAGAAAACCTTCCAATAAAAAGTCTACGGAACTTATAGATGAAGCTGTAGAGCTAGTAGAATAATATAATTCTATGTTATTTTCTTTTTCTTATTATATTTAATTAATAAGAGTAATTTTATGTGTTTATTTTGTATTAATTATAACATTTAGGTCACATTGTTTAAAATTAGTCGTAAATTTATGATAATTTTTCAATATTTCATGTTTTGTATTTTTTTACAATTATTAAATATATTTTTATATGCATAGACTGTATATTATTATAAAGTGCGTTTATCTCAGATTACCTAAAAAAAATCAGCTGTATATCTATAAAAACATGGAAGTTATAGATTTATGACCCGAAACCGACTCGATCTCCACATAGTGCGACGGTACTTAAGAACTACAACACACTTGCAATTAATTGCAGTGCACCAGTAGTGCGATTCTTAAGAAAGCATACATATTTGTACGCTTAGGCACGCGCCTACACTTGCGATAATTTCAAACCGATTTATCTGCAACTTTTTTTGTTGCACGGCCCCGTAATTGTACTGCAACGCGATAGTTGCACAGGAATCGTTTTCTATGTGAATCTTTCGCAGCGCGCACTTTAAACAATAGTTGCACGCAATAATTGGGATCGTAAAGAAGGAATGCCCCTGCATCAACGAAATCCATATCTGTCTAAATAATTACAGTTGCAATCATCTAATGACAATGTGTTACGTACGTGCAATAGTTGTACGACGACGCGATTATTGCAGAGCGATTAGTTGCAAGTGTGTTCTAGCTCTAACTTACCTAAACGACCTTTTGACGACCTCCGTGGCCGAGTGGTTTGAACGCCGGGTTTCAGGGTGTCGCTAACTCGAGAGCTCCCGGGTTCGAATCCCGGTGGGAGCAGATGTTTGTGTGATGAATACGAGCATTTGTACTCCAGTCATGGCTGTTTAATATATGTATTTCTATATAAATATATTTACTTATATATGTACTGTATATGTATTCTATCCGTTACCCTAACATCCCATAACACAAGCCTTACCGTGTTTACTTTGGGGCTAGGCTAATTGGTGTGAGTGTTGGAAATATTATATTATACTAGCTGTCCCAGTGAACTTCGTACCGCCATAAAAAAAATAGAGGTTGGTGGTAGAAGGGTGAAAATTTAGGGTTGTATGTATTTGTGTATGATGTATCATAAAAAAAAATAAAAAAAAATATATCTAAAATTGAAAAAAAAATTTAGGGGTGGATTACCCTTAACATTTAGGGGGATGAAAAATAGATGTTGTCCGATTCTCAGAGCTACCCTATATACACACAAAATTTCATGAGAATCGGGAAAGCCGTTTCTGAGGAGTTTAACCACAAACACCGCGACACGAGAATTTTATATATTAGATTATATTTTATATTTTAATGGCGTTACAAATAATGAACCCATGCTTGGTGTTTGCAGGCATACTGGCGCGCCACGCACCCGCCGGCCGCCATGTCGCGCGCGCCGCACGCGCATCCCGCGCACGCGCCGCACGCACCGCACGCGCACGCGCACGCGCAAGCCATGCCTGGTGAGTGCCACACACATACGTACGGACATGACACTTTTGTCGACAACTAGGGATAAAGTGCGACAAGGATCTCTAAACCTGTCCAAAAAGTATATTGGACGATCCGCGGAGATCCGTAAGATGATCGCGTAGTCAAAATCAATATAAGGCATTATTTAAATATTGAAAGTAACCTTTAATACATACTGTATAAGGTCTTAAATAAAACGCATGTGTCAAGGACTTCTGACAGTTCGAAATGCAAGCTCGTAAAGTTTTACGACTTATTGCTATATGTGGAAGAATTAAGACCTTAGTTCTTTGACTCTACGCGCAATTCTGAACGCGCTGTTAGCAATATAGCAGGCACGGACTGCGAGGAAAAGAGACGGCTATATGGCGACGTATAACCGACCATGCATTTGAATATCACAAATATTTTATATTAAATCAGTTTATAGTAAGTATTAGATCAAAATTTGCTTCAAATGCGTTCAATTAACAAACATTGACTAGATACCTGTCGAAAAAACGTCTCTTTTCGTACTCTAAGTATTATTTTCGCATTCTTTCGCGGAGCTCTGTGGCATCTTGACTTTGTAACGGTCCGCGCGTGAATGTACACCAAGAAGTGCTTGAGTGGAGTTCAAGCACTTCTTGATTGGGACACATTTTGAGCGCTCGTAATCTATCTAGGGTATTTAATATCATTGCTCAGCATACGTTACGTGTATTTTTCTCGTGCCGGAAGGGCCCGGAACGATTTCTTGATATCGTCGCTGAACAAAATCAACAATACTTTATTAAAATATTATACATACAAGTTCCTTATATAGAGCACGGTATTCCACTTCCTTCTCTTTTCTTCTTCTTTTCATGTTGCCATATCTTTTTCACCTAATGCTACGACAATCATTGCTAATTCTTCAGGAGCAAAATTAAACAATTTGGGCTAAAATATGGTACAGCACTAGCACGTCTATCGTTTATTACCGTCACTGTACGTATGTTTTAAAGCCACGTTCACGTTGTGGACTATACACGTCACATCTCCGTCCCGTCCGAGGAATTAACCCGTCACGTATGCTGAGACCTTAATATTGTGGCGAAAATCGGAACTAACGCCGCCATCTTTGTAAACGTCATATTATATATGTCATTTAAGATCATTTACGTAGACAGTGACAACCTCCCTGACCTGTCACTTTTTTATATACCTAGATAGGTCTGAAAAATGCCTCCACCCCACCTGATGTTAAATGATGGTGAAGTCCAGACGTGAAGATAGCCAGCTATCTTTCAGCAGTTCTACCTGCCACTCCAGCCATCCACATTTATAAAGATCCTTGTCGCAATGTAGCCTTTTGTGCTGGCTGACCGGCAGTGTAGAGTAATTATTATAATTTAATATAAGAATAATTTAATTGTATACTTTAAATTTAAAATAAAAAGACAAAAATCTTCAAAAATTTGGAGGTACAAGAGTAACAAACTAACGCTGTGTCTTGCATCATTCTCCGGATCGTATTTTGATAATTTATGGCATTACTTCAGCCAACAAGAAACCAAATTTCATTTGCTTTAGATTTTCATTCTTCCTCAAAGAAGAAGAAGTTTTATTAACTCGTTTCCGCGAATTGAATATACTTTGAATGTAGTTGCCGTTGCAGTCTTTAAAGAGAACTCTATGAAAAGATGTCGTTATTAATGTTTCTTACTCACTGATGAAATTCTTTTCAGTTCAGATCAAGATATAGATATTAAAAAAAAAATTATCTACATTTTAAGTAATTCCTTATAGTAGAATAAAAACAAAATAGTTCACTATTGAAAATGCAGGTATAAAAGCTGTAGATTTATTTTGTACACAAAGTCTCTCCCTACACAAAAACTTTTGAAATAGTATACAGGGTGTTACAAAAATACAAATAAAGCTTGAAGGGCGTTGAAGTACATCATATAAGGAGTCTTCTCTAATTTTCTTAAAATATTAGCATTGAAGTTTTAACTTTTTATAAAAACAGTTATTTTTAATGATTAATAAAAATATCGATCATTTTAAGACACGCCACTAATTAGAGGGTTATAAAAATAACTGTTTTTATAAATAGTTAAAACTTCATGCAAATATTTTAAGAGAATTAGAGAAGACTCCTTATATGATGTACTTCAACGCCCTTCAAGCTTTATTTGTATTTTTGTAACACCGTGTATACTTACAATAGAATTATGCAGATATTTTTGTGTATTTTTGAAATAGTATATATACTTACAAAAATAAAGTTTTCAAGTCATATGAAGAACATAGTATGACCACCAAGCATATTTTCCTCGAAAAATTCGAAAAATTTTTTTTTGAGTGAATGAATGACACGGGACGGCTTGAAATCAGTTTATGGAATTTATAATTTTATACCTACTACTACTGTAAAGTTATGTGTACAAACTGCTTTAAGTGTTGTGTTAAAAATTTTATAACAACAGGAAACAGACACATTCATATAACCTCTGTTTGCCAAAACATTATATATTGATACTTTAAAATTTGATATTGATACCGCAACACAATGAATCAGCATACCTACACTAATTATGTCATCCAAAAACACCATACTACCTCAATATTACTTACAACTAATACAATAGAATAATAAGTTAAAATCTCTATATTTAAGTTAATCAAGGGTAACGTAATAAAAAAAAATATAATTAAGTTTACGAATTAGTTTTTATAGTAGGACGCTATGTTTTCACACCAGAAATCAAATCAAATGCCACAATACATATTTCAAGTGCACGCAAGTACAATTGCTATTGCACTACAAACTGCCATGGAGGCAAGTTTTTACCCCATACAGAAATATAAGTTTCTGATTTTCGAGTTTGCTTGAATATGGGAACTCGGGTTTTTATATTTTACTACGTTGCTGCCGGTCGATACGTTAATAAGTTAGAAAATCCTTCTGACTAACACTGTCATTGAAATTAACACATATCATGTGCTTTTTTCATTGATTTCTTATTCCATTTTAGGATTATGAACAGCTTATTTTGCTGAGATGAACTTAGAAGTAGTCCTAAAAATTGAAACAGAATAGAATGGAATATTCAAAATGGAATAAAAAAATCATCTGGATCATTGAACTAGGAAAAGTTTTTGATTGTTCAACTCATGGTGGATAAAATTTTTCGACGACAGATATATTCATTAGATAGTAATTTCATTAAAACGAAAATCGTATTTCTGGCTTAACTACAGACATATTCTTGGTTATAAGCTTACAAAACGGTATATGAGTCGTTGTCTAGCTAGAATATTGAAGAATTTAATACCTGCTATGCTGTTGCTACGATGTACCAAACTTTTCCGTGTTCAATGTGCAATAACTGTGTATTCCCTCTGTTGAACCCCCCGCGCATTCCGGAGGACACCGCGAGAGGTCCGACTCGTACAACTACGAGAGGGAGAGAGGTAACTTACGCATGTCCCATTCCATTGCACTAACTGCACGAGTCGCCTGAAATGAGACTGACGTCAGAAGTATTTATGACGCTATGAAAACTGTTCAGATTATCGTTCCTAGATCGCAATTTTGTTTTGTATGGGTTGAAAAAGGAACCGTGAACCATGTTGCTAAAGTTGTTGCAGTTGTCTGCACAAAATATTTTAACAACTACCCTGTTGCAAAAATTTTTTTTTACTCGTCGAAAGTAGTACTCATAACTTCAATCACCAATAATAGTATTTTAATTAAATCGTAAGAAAGTTTTAGACCGCCAAAATTCCAGCATGGTTACTGGGAAAACTTTATTTATTTCTTTTGAAAATTGATTTATTCCACAATTGGAAATAAAAAAAAACAGTAGATCCCACGAACATTTAAAATGCGTTATTACTTCATATTAACTATACACATCTGATTATGTCTAGTCAAAATATAGGCTTTGTTATTTCTATGGAATCAACACTAAAAAGAAAAAACATGTCTGTTCCTTCTGACGTCATTCTCAATGTCTGTGCGTAGCTGGATCATTAGAGAAAATAGTCACTCTATTTTACCTAGATAACCTAATTTAATAGCTATAAATATTGTCTTCATCATAAACATTAATCATATTATTTGTTTCAACATTTTATACTTAGTAGTATTAGTTGTAGATACCTATATGTTGTAGTAATTTATTGTTGTCGTCCAGTCCCTCCTTTGGGCATATGGAATGTCCTACCCGCCTACCCACTGACCCACCCTGTTCATTTCAGTACAAGCATCAGGACAAGCGCACTAACCGCCGAGCCGAAGATCATATATTCCAGATGTATCCATTTCTAGCAGATACTCCGCCGATGACCCAGGTTGCCAACCTTTCTAGGGGCTCAGCCCGTCGCCATAACGCTTTGCCGTGAGGGTGTCGCTTACTAACCGTGACCGCTGAAGGTTTGCAACGACCGATCTCCTACAACACGATTTCGGATAGGCATTTGCATCTGACATGACGCTTTACTGCTCAACTAAAAGGGTCTAAGGTTTGTGTATGTTATTCTAAAAACATTTCCGAACCAGCATTCGTTTCATCAGAATCTTTTATGAGAACTCAGTTTGTCGTCAACATTTCATACTTACATAAATTACAGAAATACATTTTCAACGGCGATTAAAGTCGTAACACCATACACTAGTCTTTCGGTTATCGTAACAAAATGATTATGTGAGAAGCACCTTAGACCCTTTGTATCCGCGGCACGGGCAGCGGAGCCGAGCTCACGGTGCGCTTCTTGCAGCGGCGTGCGCCGACGCCGCCGCCAGCGAGGTGCTGCCGTGCCCGGGTCGCGTGCGCGCCGCCGCCTCGCCTGCGTCACCCGCGCCCGCGCCCGCCCAGACCGCGCTGCTCGTCTAGTGAGTCGGGTGACCCTCCACCGGGATACCGGCAACGTGTGCAGTGTGCTCGAGTTTCGGTTTTGTTTGCTCTCCCGCATCGTATGACTTTCCAGTGCCTGGTTTTCGATACCCTTGCAGTTGTAGTAGCTCATCGCGGTATCCGTAAAAAAGGCTAGTTTCCCGTGAAAATGGCGTCAAATACCTGCCGATATTTACACGGAGGAGCCCGACACGTTTCGGATATCGGGTGATCTACGCGCCCGAAGATATTGATAAATCACTAAATCGGTCCTCTTCGACAGGTGGCAGAAGCCGAGCGGCGCGGCCCGAACGGCTCGAGGAGGAATATTACCCGCGCGAGCGGTATCAGCGGTACGGGCGCGACCAGTACCCGCGCGACCAGTACCCCGACGCCGCGGGCTACCCGCCCGAAGCGTACGCACCCGCCGAGCCCTACGAGCGCGAGGCGTACGGCCACGACTACACGCGGGACGCGTACGCCCGTGAGGACTACGCGCGGGACTACGGGCGGGAGTACGCCCGCGAGGCGCCTTATAGGGAGGAGCGGCGAGGACGCGACCGAGACGGACCTGATGACTACGGGCCGTCAAGACGCGCGCTCAACGCCGTATAGCCACCGCAGTCGCGCTCCGTGCGCGCCGGGCGAAGCGAATCGCGAGACACGCTCGCGCAAATTCCCTTGGATTACTTTCTTCCGCCGCGACCGCGCTGAGGAAGGGAGGATGGCCGATGAGTGTTCGTTTTGTGAGCGGCGGCGGCGCGCGGCGCGGCGTTTTCAGTATCGCGTTCGTAGGCGCTTCCTTACGCGCCTCTGTTCGCTTTAATCTGCTTCGGGACCGATCAGTGCGTCGGCGGACGGCCGATATTTAGTCGTATTCGTCACAGAAGCGTCGCTTCGCTTCGCCTCGCCAGGCCTGTGCCGTGGCTCGCTTCGCAGCAGTAGTGGCACGCTTCGCTCGCGCCGCGCGCCGCCGCCGACCGTCGTGTTTTGGACGGAACTCGCGTCGATTGTATAAATTTTACATAAACTTTAATTTTAGTAAGTACCGTTAGATATTATCCGTTTCCCATTTTTTGAACATACTCTGTAATTATATTGCATCGTCTGTACTTCATTGTTGCAATCATTTGTAAATAAAATACTTTATATCGATGATGTAGTTCTATTATTTTTCTCGTTAGTAATTCCAATTTCTGTTTTCAAAAGGAACATTGGGAAAAAAATAAAAATATAACAGTTTTATATGAAATATATCGCAGTTTATTGAAATAAATTCGATGACGGTATTGTTTTAACATTTCCAAGCGAATAGACTTCCCGCTATGCATTTTGCATTCCATAAAATAAATTATAACATTACAATACATAACAGATAAATAGTTCTAATGTCTCAAATACTCCTCTGCCTCTTTGGTGTCTACTAGCTAAATTATAATTATATACAATTTTAATCAAATTACATAGTTTTTAGTTGCAATCAGGTAACAATCATAATCTGAAACAATATTCTCATATCAGACGAAACTGTATTTTTAGACTAGAAACATTTAATGTAGAATCATTTCATTATATAAATTCTATGTGACAAAGTTTGCAAAAAAGTAGACTTTTGAATTACATTTCCACATCAAGAGTCAAATATTAAAAGTTAATTTTCCCCGTTACGCACTAACTCAGTGTTAGATAAGCCGTTATATTGCAACATCTCTTTGGTTTCGCACTTCAATCAAATAAGAGATTACCACACGCACCTAGCCCCGTTTCAGTTCACACCGTCTCTATTTACACTTTATACAAGTTCACGCTCTATTTACACCTCACTTGAGTCTCTTTTTCACTGTCCAGTGGCACTTGTTCCATTTGAAACCTTTGAGGGTACCCCAGGGCCATCCTCTTTTGGTGAGATTGACGGCTAGTCAGATGTAGAGGTAGTCGTTTTTTGTTTCCTTACAGTAACTAATGCTGGGGAATTTGTAGACTGGGGTATACCGTCTCCTATCTCCTTCGGCTTCTAGGGATAGGGCGGATAGCGCTCGGGAGGTTTCTTCGTCCTCTTCCTCGTCTCTCATTGGTTCCTGGGTAGGCGCGGGGGTGGGGGCAGGGAGAGTACGCGGCGGGAGGGGGGGAGCGCGCGGGTTCCGCCGCACTCTGAAGTGGCAGTCGTTGCCTGGCGGCCACGCACGCTGGACTAACAGCGGTAAGTCGTCAGGGTGTAGCTTGCGCTCGTATTCTTGCGAAGGGCATACCTGGAACAAGCGGATTTTCAAATTATTTACTAACTCAATTAGTACATATAGGGAATGCTTTTCGATAATATAAATTTTCAATGAAAAGCAGTCCAATTAACGAGGTGAGGAAGACAAGTAAAAAGTGCGCTAGCTGCTGATTAGTCTAGACAGAAATATATTAATGGACTGGTTAGTTCCATGAAAGCATATTGTCCTGTCAGTCATGGCCTAGCTAGACAATGACTTCACTGTACGTGTTAAACGTAAAATGATAGTTGATGAGCAAGAGATAGTTGCTGGTTATGCCACCTTCGGCAAAATATAGTTATTTTACTATAGCATTCTAAAATACTTATTTCTCTTAATACGTGGCTAGTGGTTTGTACACCGGGTTTCATGGTGTCGCAGACTCGAGAGGTCCGAATCCCGGTGGGGGCAGATGTTTGTTTGATGAATACGAGCATTGGCACTCCAGTCATATATGTTTAATATGTATTTTCTATATAAATATACTTATATATGTACAGTATATGTATTTTATCTGCAATCGTTAGCACCCACCAACCCACAAACTGGGCGCACGTTGTGGGACAAGACGAAATCTTCATTTTTCATCGTTAGGGAAGGACTGTGCCCCTACAGGGGGTCATTTATTGGCTAATGATTATGATGATATTATTCATATATAGAAACCAGCACTAACCTCATAAAGTGAGAACCTCTCGACGCCCTCTGTGGAATCATAACAGTGCAGCAGTATCGCCAACAGCTCGTCCGCTGTCGTCCGTTCGCTGGTCAGCAGACACTTGTACTGAGACGAGGACATCAGGGCCGAGTCGTAGATCTTCACCAGACCACCAGGTCGCATTTGCAGCGAAAACCTGGAAGGAAACATAAAGATTCCGTGAATAGGTGAAACTTAAAAACGCCTATACATTTTCGTTTAGCAAATCTTTCAATAGGTAACTCTTTGAAACGCCTGTTAACTTTTCCTGGCAAAGCTTTTTGAATAGGTAGGTAGATTATATTTAAGCGGATAAACGACATTGCCTAAGAAATTTGAGGAGTTGGTATATTTTTTTATAACAAATGTGGACAGCAAGCTTAATATTAAGTTTCATTATAAGCAATTACCAAGCCGACCAATTATCGGTCGGATCCAATTCAATTCTTTCTTTGTCACTTATTCCAAAACATCATCGAATTCGTAACGTTTGCGAGTCCGAAATGTCATTGTCAAATGTGTACTGATTTTTAGTACTCGTTACGTACTTTGTGGCGCTGCTGTTTAAGTTTCGATACAAAATTTGACATTGACATTTAGGACTCGCAAACTATTCTAATTGGATTAATAGTTCGTGCTAGGGGTACAGTACACACACACACACACACGCACACAACACTCACACAAACATACACACACATACACACACACACACACATACACACACACGCACACAACACTCACACAAACATACACACACACACACAGAGAGAGAGAGAGAGAGAGGGAGAGACACACACACACACAACACTCACACAAACATACACACATACACACACACACATACACACACCCACAACACTCACACAAACACAGACACACACACCCACACCCACACACCGGTTAATGCTATACCTAGTTACTTTTTTAATATTATTATTATTTAATTTTTATTTGGTTCTTTAACTATTGTAGGTTCAAAGTACATATTATTATTTAAACCGCAACTACAATACTTTGTAAACTTAACAATAGTGAGGAGAGCACTGTCTTCTGGTCATCAGGGTAACCTTTTCCAGAGTTCAGGATTCAGATTATCATGTATCAAAATGTAAACTTGTTCCATTAAATTAATATTATTATAGATAGTAACAACGAACCAGCAACATTTCATCGCCCTTTGTCAATAACAAGCACACTCCATCCATTTAGGTACTGTCAACACAAAGCTACGCGGTCCATATGGTCAACGGCGGAGTTTTTAAAGTTTTTATCGCGCGCCATGTTTATGTACGGAAATAGACGGCCGGAAGGGGACACGGCACGGCTAAGGAGTGATTCTTTTTCGGGACGTTGTTGTGGACAAGCACCCGTGCCGGTGGTCCGGCGAGCCGGCCGTGACGCAATAACTAGTGTTTTAGTAGTATTTCACGAATTCAAAGCGCTTTTTAGCGTCTCGTTTCGTGGATACGTTCGCTTTATGCTTCCAATACTTAAAAAAGAAGGAACATATAAGTATAGATATTAAACTCAGAAACGTCTTATAAGTTTTTTTAAATACACACCACCTGATGTTAAGTAAGAGTGGAGTTCAGTAGCTAAAATAACTGATGCAGCAGAGTATTCCACACTAACCATGCACCCTCACATTCACAGTATTTAAAGGTGGAGATTACTTCCACAGACATTCCGATTTTAATTGGAAATCAGCTTTGCCCTGTCACCGTGCGACCTTCTCCCAAAAACCACCGAAAAAATGTACGTAGTAGAACAAATTGTCGTGAAAAAGTCATAAGCATGATTTAAAAGTCACTTTTTTGTGGTAGGTTCAAGCCAACTAGTTCTTCAACTAATGGGCATCCAAAAACGAATTTGTCAAATTGGTCACCATAATAACTTAGAATAAGTGAATCAGAGTTAGGTACATATACTGGACACGTGAGTGACATTATACACAATTTTATATATATGCAATGTATGACTAACAGCATGTTGTCATTTCACGAACAAATTCTCTACTAGTTTTAATAATTATTGTATTTTCTTATTTCGCTCGGATAGATACGTACAGAATATCCGTATTTATAGTCTGATAGTACAACAATCCTATCTATACCAGACAAAATAACAGTCCTTTGGTTTGAAAGTCGATATCTTGAAAGCACTATTAATCCCGCTATCACTATCAGCCCTACCATTTGAGGAAGTTGGTATTGCTTGCAAGACTTAAGAGGAGTGTAGATACCCAATATAAGATACACTTCAACTGCGCGTGCACTCGTCACCGACACAATGAATACAAAAACGAATCATGAAACCACTTACTTAGAGTATCCTTTCGGGTGGCAAGCCTGCAGGGCGGCCGGGCGCGCGTCATCGTCTAACACGAGCGTGGTCCTCAGGCCCGCGGCGCGCACCCGCACCTCCATGCTGAGGTAGAACAGCCGCGGGTCTCTGTGCCGCATCCTGAACTTGCCCAGCAATGTGGAGACCACCTCCCGAGCGCGCGTGCCCCAAGTCACCGACAGCGTCTTGTACTCGATGTCCGGCCGGAGGCAGCGCGCGTACACTTTTATCGTCGTCTGTGGAAAATTGAAAATAAGTAAAATTAATATCTGGGTGTTTAATATCTTGCGCAGGTTGATAGGAGCAGGTACTGTTAGTAATCATTTGGCAGCCTTTTCCGCAGTCCTTTATTCTTTTACTTGCGTAGGTTTTGAAAAAAGGGCGCATGGGGTGTCTGGGTGCGGAGCGCTGTGAATTCACACTGAGTTCTATAATTCTAACCTTTTTTTTTGTAAACAAATAACTACAGTTCATAAGAAGTAGATAGGTATTCATAAAAACATCTATCAAAACTACAAAAGAATCCACAAAGGTCAAACTACAGCAACAGCTAATGTCTCGTCGCTGGTAATTTGTGTACCGCAATGCCATTGCGAAAACGCTCAAATAATGCGTGGACACCTTAGAACATGTCACAATAAAATTACCATTGAAACGTAACAAAATGCAAAGATTGCAGAAAATCAGGTTCTCACGTAGCTAGAGGCCTGCCCTTTCACAATCGCGCGAAAATATGCAACGGCTTTACCGATAGTAACAGGAAATCATATGTTCATAAGCCGCTACACATGGAGTAGCTATTCAAGGAATTTCTTTAGTATTAAGCACTTAAAATTCGTCACTTGAACAACACTACACAAAGCACTTTATAAACCTTTTTTGATAACAAAATAGTAAGAAGTATCAAATAAAAATTATGACCAATTAAATATAAAATTAAAAGAGACCAACCAACCAACGACCGAAACTAAACGACCAACTATTCGAAAAAACTTACGTGAATATTATGGGGATGAAGCGCTAACCGCATGCGCGGAGCGGGGACAGGCGCGGACATGGTGCGTGCGTGCGAGTCGCCGCGCGGTCACAGACTATCCAATACTAAGAGCTCGAGTGTCACCGCAGCCCTACCAGCTCGAGCGGAAATCGCCTCTCAGCCCCACACAAAGGGTAAATCGATCCGTCCACCTGTCCGAGCAGCACCCCGCCAGGAAACGAATAGTGTCGCACGCACCAAACACCCCGTGAATCGTTCGATTATTCGCAACAGGAAGCGATGCGATACAAACAACCTTTTGTGCAATTGCCATTTACAAAGGCGAGAGGTAAAATTCGTGATGCGCTGCCAAATCAATTACGCGTAAAAACATTGAATCTATTTTAATATAAAGGACGACTTCTCCCGGTTAACGATTTCTGATAAGAGTTATGACGTCCGTAACATGCAATAGTTATTTTAACTGGCTTCGTTCAAGTTAATGCGTCATTCGAAGGCCAATTAGTCTTACACTCAAAAACTTGTCACACTATAACAAATATCTTTGAACAAGAACAAACTTGGTGGCAAGAGATGCAACTCATTAAGTCTTCCGGTGTTTGAGAAGCTGAGAAAGTGTCCGGTAAAAGTGGTGATCTTCACGACAACATGTTAGCCGATAAACGGAGGGAAACGCAAAAAGTGCCGGCGGACGACAGAGGAATGCGGCTACTGGATTGCCTTGTCCTGTCCAGTGCATACAGCAAAAAGTAGCACTGTAATACTTTATCTTAGAGAGGATCTTCCCCTCAAGCAAATAACTGCAAAGAATACCACAGCTCATCAAATGAACTACTTATTACTTCTTGCAAACAAAATCTCGATGAAATTTTATTTCGACTTCATAAAAAGTTAAATATATGAAAATATGTGTGTAAATACCAAAAAATTTTAAATAGTTTTGTTTATATGTAGCTATTCTAAAGAGTTTTATTTTTTATTCTATGTTGAATACACACTAAAAACAAATTCTAATAGTCACGATACAATTAAAATGGATAGCATTGAACGGAATAAACGAATGAAGATTGGCATGAGCTGTTGAGGAATTGCCGCTGATTGTTATTGTCAGTATTAATAGAATCCTTATATTATCTGGAATTTAAATTCGAGCTAAGATAACTTTAAGTTTAGGAGAACACCCTTTCTCGCATTGTCGACTTTTAGTGCAGATACTTATTACATGTTTCTATTACCAATTAACAAGGCGCACTCAGGTGCACAGCTGCTCTTCACAAGGTCGTGGTTTCCAAGCTATTAGTAAGAAAGACCAAGATTCGGATCTACAATACAGCGATTAGACCGATCTTGACGTACGGTTGTGAGGCTTGGACGCTAAGCCTTAGAGAAGAGAATAAGTTGTTAGTCGCCGAAAGAAGGATTCTGCGGAAGATCTTCGGACCAACTCAAGGAGAGGATGGCAGCTGCAAAGTGCGGACGAACATCGAGCTGGAAAATCTAGTGTCCGAGCCCAACATCATAAGAGAAATTAAAGCAGCTAGACTTCGCTGGCTCGGACCTTGAGAGAGAATGGGAGAGGATCGAGCCGTGAAAAGAGCGTATTTGGGGCGACCGATTGGACGACGGCCCGTTAGACGTCCCAGATACCGCTGGAGCGACGAGGTGCAGAAGGACTTGCAGTTTTTGGATGCCGACCGATTAAGAGTACAGTGCGTTTCATATTAACGACCATAGAAGGTAGAGGCATATAAGGCAACTGATTAACTTTATTGTTTCACCATAAAAATTCAAATTACTCTTACTTTTCCCTGCTATATTAACAACCAAATAAGGTTTACATATAAGGCAGCTCATGTATTTTAATGTTTTAATATCACCATAAAAATTAAAATTAATCTTGCCTTTTCCTGCTACATAATCATAGTTCATAATAATGTAACCCTTTCCGTTCTCAGGCTTTCATGCCTCTAGAACATCCCGGAGACAACATTCTACAAAAAGAAAAGCTCAGTAACTAAGTGTTATTATTTCCATTATTATCATTTCATCCGCGTTTTATTACGATATTTGCACATAATGATAGGTAATAGACACATTATCTGTAACAAGCTGTATAGTTCCCAAAATCTAACCGGACAAAATAATGAGTCACGACTCTTTAGATAAATTACACCAATCAATGTCAGAACGGATTGACAGTGTTTCGAAGTAATTTATCATCTAGACCGACATATGTCGGGTCGGGGAGAAAGAAGTAGGCCCCAAATTGAGCATAACGAGACCGCAAAGTCTTGGAACGGCCATAAACAGGGCTCTTGGTAAGTTATTCATCGGAACGAGTGATAATTTGAAAAGTAGAGACATTCATAGTTTGTTTAATGACTGTAATATTATGATAAGGACCCGTCAAGACAAATTTTACAATTATTCTCCAAAAATTGACACATATTGTAGTAGGTACCTACAGATTGTATAATTCCTGGAATGTTTTTATCATTATACCTAATTGGAAAGAAAGATGAACCTTTGTTATCAACAATTGATCGTTTTAAAGTAATAAAAGCCCGCAAAAAGCTTGACTTGACAAGGTTTACTTAAAATCATCCGTTAATTTCTTTAATGCAGACTAGCGTAGCAAGCGAGCTAACCTAATTGAGCTCTGTACAACCATTTTGTTGGCAGTTAATTAAATTCTTGACGCCGATTAAAATGTTCTTCATTTCTTACACTAAAGTAATTAAAGTAAACATCTTGTTTAAAATTACGATAGTCGATGCTACGTGATAAAATCTACTTTTTTACAAAAGCTTTCATAATCAAAGAGCTTCAGCAGAAAATGACACTAAATTATCTATTGGAACATAAATACTAAGCTAACCTATTGCTTTATTATATTTTATTTTAAGCATTTAACTGCTAGAGATTTCAATAAAATGATTTTTTTTCTAGAGAAAATTCCACTAGGTCCGGGTCCTTCTGTCTGAAAATTGGACCAGTAGTTTTCTTTTTCTACTAATTTTTTTTGTTTATTTATCGGTAATACAAAGAATAAAACAAAAGTATTAATATTCAATTAGCATTACTGCAGCGTTAAATCAGTCAAACAAGTGACAACCTATTACCAAAAAAATCCTTGAAAAACTACTATTTTCAGCTTCTGTCATCGTAGTACTGACTTATTTTCAAACGCCTACAGGAGAACGGTAACAGAATTAGTCGATATTGCTAACAAAAAATCAAATCTAATAAGATACTGTGTAAGATAACTTATAGGGTCAAATATTACATCTAATAGAGCATGGTTGGTTTGCCTGTCGGACAAAATCCTCGTGTTGGTGTCGAAGTGATTTAAATCTTGACTGCTGTCAAACCAATAACATCATACTTATCATGGAACTTATGATTCAAAATGGTGCTGTGTTTACTAGCAGAATTACAAGCATCTTGATATAATTACGAAATTTTACGATAAGAAATTAAAAAACGTTCGCCTGACAGGAATTATAGTAACAGTGACAGTATTTTATCTACACGACTGATAAGTAATAGACTTAAAACACAATTTTAAGAAACAAATCCTTAAACCTTAGGTTTTGATTGATTTGATAATACGAAACATAGGTACTCAGAATCGTTCTCTTCTCACTAGTTAAAGTTAAGCTGTTGTGGTCACAAAGAGACGGACAATGCCATTGTCCTCTCTTTGATCACTTGCACTGATGCGCTTGAGCAATACGAAACTTTGACGTCACAGCGACAACTCCACCACAAAGGATTACCGGTAATTATGATCTTTGGTGCCGAGATCCCAAGGTTCATTTCAATTACAAGATCGTGTTATGAGCGTGAAAAAGTTATAGGGTTAAATGTCGGTTAACGACTTACAGCTACTGTTGAATTGAACAATTTACGTGGAGAAAAATGTTACATTCAACCATAACACGACCGATTATTGCCATTATAAATTTGAAAGGAAAATGTCAGAAGAAAGAAGGAAAGTAGAAGCATTGATAATTTTATGCAAGTGAAGTAGGTAGCTATTATAAAAAGAATAAATTGCATTTATTATTTAAAACGAGGTTAACAGGTGCACTCAGAGACGAAAATTAACTTTTGAGTCGATAAAATTTTAGCTGGTATTTGTTTTTGTGATAATAATTAATACAAAGACAATTACGTCTATGTAAAGAATCTTTTTCTTGTTAAAAGATTACTTATTCTTAAATAAGTTGTAAATAAAAAATATTGTGTAGTCTGTCTATTGCTTTTTACCTCAATGAAGTTAATTGTTTGCGTTTGCATTACTGTCACTTTTATTTAAAAAGAATGTAAAAAAAATATTGAGTTACAATATTTATTCTAACTCGTCTTTTATGTTCTAGGAAAGCTTTTACTATCAGAATCTTGAGTTAAAAGAATATTTATTTTATAAATATTTTCGTAGCAGATTTCACGACTGCTTTCAACGATAAGTTTCCAGAAAACATCTAAAGTCCATTGAAAAAAGGTAAAGATTGCGAAACCTACTTTTTTTCCAGCAAAAACTTTGTAAAACAATTTCCCAATGGGTTGGACAACACACCCGAGCTGAAGCAAAAACACAAACAAGAAGCCTTTGAATAAAATTGTATGTCGCAATTTTACGCGGCGCTACGCAATTTTACGGTTTAACAGTCAAAAAATTATTATAGAGCCGATAATGCCCTCTCATCATGATCAATAGAGCTGAAAAGATCATTTTATCCATATCCTACTGTATTATAAATGCGAAAATTTGTTTTTTTGTGTGTTTGTATGTTTATTACTCAATCACCCAAAAACTACTGAACTGATTTGAATGAAAATTGGTACGCATATAGTTTATGACCTGAATTAAGACATAGTATACTTTTTATCCCGGAAAAATGTTAGGTTCCTGTGGGGTTCTCTAAACCAAAGTTAACACGGACTTAGTCGCGGGCGGCTGCTAATTTTTTTTATTATTACTATTATAAATGTGGCAGTGTGTCTGTCTGTCAGTCTGTTACCTCTTCACGCTTAGACACCTGAATCGATATAGATGAAATTTGGTACAGAGATAGTTAGTGGCCCCGGAAATAACATAGGATAGTTTTATCCCAGAAATCATCTTTTATGGGGGTAAAAAGGGGGTGGAAAGTATGGGAAACCAATTAAACCACGTAGACAAAATCGCAGGCACTAGTTATCGATAAATTCTCGAAATCTCGTGTTTTTGCAGTGCATCCACTACAGGTGAGTGTTAAATATACAGTTTAGGTCGCTTTCAGCTGTTAGTGAGTTACATTAAGTTACAACGAGAGATGCAACTGTATTGAGAAAAGTTACGGTCAAGTCATAAGGCTGTAGCATGAGTACCACAATTTGCTTTATATCACGTTTTTTATCGCGTCTAACTGTCAAACTCCATAGTAATTTAACAATTGAGCGTGATAAAAAGGCGTTATATATCATTTCGCGGTGATCATGCTAGCGGCTGGATACAGATCCTGATTGATATATTATTGTCTCGGAAAGTTTATTTATATACTCGCAAGCAATGAATTCGATGGCGCAAGTGGTTAGCGCGTTCGGCTGCGATCGTGGAACTTAAGCAACCTTCACAGTGGTCGGTCATTGGATGGGTGACCAAAAATTGCTATCTCGAGCTCCTCCGTGCTTCGAAAGGCATGTTAAGCCTTTGGTGACGGCTGCATCTGCAGTCGTTAGCACCCACCAATCACACTGGGCCCGCGTGGTGGGTCATGGCCCAATCTCCCTATTCCATCCTGTGCCCCAGCAGTGAGGACATTAATAGGCTAATGATGATGAAGCAATGAAACTGTCACCCCATGTTCGAGATTGCCCTAGT